TTGCAAACGAACGATTTCCATAATGGAAGGATCTCAAATGCAAACATTTGGAAGGTTTAGAACCCAGGATGCTAAAAACCAAGGTTAAGGACCCCATCACACAAGGTTCAAAGGTTCGGACCCTTAGCGCTATTTACCTATTTTTTTATGGTCAAAGACCAAATTGAAGTTAGCTGCAAAATATTTCATTTTGAAGGTTTCTCATAGATATTGAATATCTAAAAACATCACTAAGACACTATCTTTAAATATAGTGAGTAAATATTTGTATTTACTTCAATAATATTCTCTATTTTGTCTCTTCATTTTGTTTTTTCAAGAAATGATTTCTTCCCATATTTTATTTGACATATTTGTTTACATATCAATGATCAATCAATTCAAATGCGATTTGAATAATTAAGAAATAGGGAATTAAAATATGTAACTTATTAAATGCAATCATTATAAAACAAGAATAAACGCATCGCTTTTTTTGTAGAAAGCTCGACCAGCGAGAAAAAGTGTTTGGCCAAAGCCAAAAAAGTAAGTTTGAAATACACTTTTTATTTTAAAAAGTTAGAATAGAGTTTCTTGGAACTTAATTTTAAGTATTAATTCTCTAAAATAGAAAGCATATTGTATTTAGAGAGTATTTTTTTTAAAGATGCTCTAATTCTTCAATTTGTCGTCGTTTCCCACCTTCCTTGCGTTCTAGAGGAACAAAACGTTCATATCTAAAAAAAGGGCGAAACGCCTTAATTTTTATCTTACCTAGTAATAAAAAATGAAGTCAAAGCCACGATAAAAAATCTTTTGCCAACGTCGCTCTAGAAATAGGGAAATCATTTATATGGAGAGCTCTTATAATATACAAATTGTCCGATGAGTTTTTTATTGTTTTGTGATTTTTTAACTAGTTAATGTTTCACCAAGATTTCAAAATCAACAATTACACGAGGACCGAGATTCGTACAATTGCGTTCCAGTTTGATCCTTTCAACAAGAGTACCATTGACCCTCAATGTCCATTAAACCAATTAAAATTATAATCTATTTTTCATTCTTATAATAAAGTACGC